TGAGCCGCCAGCTTTCTTGGGAGAATGCTGTGGGTGACGGTGTCAGAGGCTTTACTAAAGTCCAGGTAGATGACATCCACAGCCTTCCCCTCATCGACTAGGTGGGTCACCTGGTCATAGAAGGAGATCAGCCTTTCACGAACAAACCCATGCTGGCTGGGCCTGAGTCCCTGGTTGTCCTGCACATGCCATGTGACCGCACTCAAGTTGAACCACTCCATAATCTTCTCCAGCACTGAGGTCAGGTTGACAGGCCTGTAGTTCCCCAGATCCTCCTTCCGGCCCTTCTTGTAGATGGGCGTCACACTGGCAAGCCTCCAGTCGGTCTGGGACCTCCCCAGTTGATCAGGACTTCTAATAAATGGAATGGTTTGGCTAGCTCCGGTAGATCCCATCTGGCCCCATAGACTTGTGGATGTCCAGGTGGCAAAGCAGGTCATTAACTGTTTCCTTCTGAGCTATGGGGTTTATTCTGCTCTCGGTGCCCATCTTCCAGCTCAGGGGTCTGATTACCTTGAGGATAGCTTGTCTGACTATTAAAAGACTGAGGCAAACATAGCATCAAGTACCTCAACCTTTTCCTCATCCTTGGTGACAATGTTCCCCTCCACATCCAAAAGATGCAGATTCTCCTTGGGTTTTGTTTAGTTGATGTGTTTGTAGAAACATTTTTTGTTGTCTCTCACAACAGTGGCCAGCCTGAGTTCTAGTTGGGCTTTTGCCTCCCTAATTTTCCCTCTGCATGACCTAACAAGCTCCCTACACTGTTCTTGAGTTACCTGCCCCTTCTTCCAAGAGTGGTAAACCCTCTTTTTTCCCCCGCTGAGTTCTAGGAATAGCTCCCTGTTCAATCAGTCTGGTTATCTTGCCCTCAGGTTCATCTTCCAGCACATGGGGACAGCCTGCTCCTGCACCTTTAGGACTTCCTCTCTGAAGAATGTCCAGCCTTCCTGGACCCCTTTGCCCTTCAGGACTGCCTCCCAAGAGACTCTCTCAACCAGTGTCCTGCACAGCCCAAAGTCAGCCCTCCAGAAGTGCATGGTTGTGGCAATTTACATTCCAGCTAAGACTAGCCTATGGGACAGAGATGAACAGTTGACCCAGTACATTTTACATATGCAGAAAGAAAACAAAAGGAAATACGCCTAATACATCAACCCACCCGACCTGAGATTCAGGTACATGATACAAACCTTAAGTCTTTGTATTTTCATGAATAAAAAAAAATTGGAACCCACATGCGAGAGGCCAGACACTTACTGTGTTATTTTGCTGCTAAAGTTTTAAAAGAAAAATTTAAACAGCCAACCAGCTGACAGATGACAGACTCCTGAAATTTCACAAAGGGATGAGGTGCAATGTTTCACAACTGACACTGTCAATTCTGGTACTACTTGCAGCACACCCAAGTATAAAATTAAAAAGGATGGATGGTTCAGAGTGGTAGAAAGGCGATAAATTTGAAGAGTAAACACATCTACCTACATTGTACAGGATCAGATTTCTCAATTTGAAAAACCTAAAGAAGGGACTAATTTGTTGTGAATTGCATAAGGTGTACGAACTAGTGGCAACAGGTGACAAGGAAAATTAAGTCTCATTGTCCCAATACCAGCTGCTGTTCAATGCTCAAGTCCAAGCATTGCCTGGTGATTAATGGTGAAACTGGCTTTATACAGAACTAATGTAACTCGTCGGAGAATGGACCCAGTATCAATATCCTACCACAGTGAATCTGTCTTCAAGTCCACTAATGAGGAGCTGATCCTGCAGATATCGGAAACTGGACCAAATGCTATCAAACATGTAGGGCAGCCACAACTGTTATCTAATCCCTTATGGTCACTGAAACAGGTGGAACTGTAGATACAAAACTTAAGTGTTTCTACAATCAAACAGACCTGTATGCCATTTCAAAGTAACTCCTATGCAGAATGGTTAACATGGGTACCTACATGAAACCTTACCTCCTTCAGACACTCAGCTGTAACTGGTACCACATGGACAGGATTTGGAGTCCTGTGGGCAGCAGTTAAGCACCTTGTAAGACTCCAAGAGCTCCTTTTAAAATATTAGTGGGATTGCTTAATAAAAACAAGGAGAGGACCATTGATTGTTCAAGGTCCCTCTCCGGAGGCACCCACCTCAAGCTGACCCTGCTGCTGTACCCTTCTATCGAGTTATTCATTTTTATGAGATTTAATGCCCGAGACTCTAGGGAAACATTCAAGAAACCTCAGGTTCGGACTGCAGAGCAGCTAACATTGGAGGCCCAGACCAGACTGCGCTTCTTTAACATGGAAACACTACCCTGTACTTGGGATGCAAAAAATCCCCAACCAACCAACCAACCAGTACCAAGTGAGCTCTACCCACAGCTCCTTAAGATTAGCTGAAGTTTAGTTCCTGTGGACACTTCTGAACCATCACACAGGATTATGTGATTACAGGCAAATCCTGCTTGTAGAAAAATCAACAGGCATGGACAAGGTTATTATAAATTGGAACTTCTCACTGAAGACACTGAATATATAACAATAAGTTCTCAAAGGAGAACTGAATCCAGTTTGGTCTGCATGACGCAGTTAGTCTAAACCACTGCTTATTTTAAGAGATGGCCAGTAACAGCACACGCAGGGAAGCCTTGTACTGAAGTCAACCACAAAAAGGGTTTATTTTCAGCATTGCGTACATCTTTACTTCTGACTTGACTCAGACTTAGATGTAGAAGCTCTCAAGGAAGAAAGCCGGCGCCTCTTCGCAATCTGCTCCTGGCGTTTCTCCTTGGCTTCCTGAAAAGTGAAGCAGCATGAGGTGAGTGCTGAGATGTTGCACATAATTAAGCACTTCAAAACATCTACAAAGGAGCAAACTAGGGAAGAAAATGCAACTTGAAGAAAGCTACCAGAAAGAATGGATGCCTTAAGTCAATAAAGCAAAATGCAATTTCCCTTCTTCACAGATCAGAAGAATTCTCTAACTATCCAAACCTGTACTTACCCATGTCCTTAGACAATACAGACTAGTGTCCAAACAGTAAAAATACTAATGCAGAGTTCACAATATACTAGAAGTCTATCTACTCCTCTGTCTGGAAATCATGAAATGCTCAAATACTGTGCCAAATATTCCAATAGTATTGCTTCAGCAGTCACTGCTGTTTCAGGTGCAAGAGCAAACTCATCCAAACAAATAGCTTCTTGCCAAGTTATCTTCCATCCAGGTTAACTGCTTGATCCTGCTTCTCCATGCAACCACTCAAATGCTTGGGCATCAAAGTTAAACCTGAATTCATTTGAACTAAAATTGCTACTGCAAAAAAGGCCGCAACTGTTCATTGTTTCCTTCAAAATCAGCTCCCAGTTAAATTAATTGATCTGGCTAATTTCTGCTACTGTAGGACTGGCAAAAATGGATTGAAATGCTCACAAAACCAGCTATGTTTATACCCGCATTCAGGCATTCCTATGCAATGTGGGCTAGGTACAGAGCAGCTCTAAGTGTACAGCCAAGTTTACCAATCCCTCGATTCTGGCACACAAGGTATCCCACAAAGGGCAGTTACTAAGGCAAACGCACCTTCATCCTCTTGGCCAAGAGCTTCGCATATTCTGCCGCTTCCTCCTTATTCTTTTGAGTGCGCTGCTTCTTCAGAGCAATGCGTCTACGCTTATGTTGCAGAACTCGAGGGGTCACTAGTCGCTGGATCTTGGGGGCCTTGGTTCTGGGTTTCTTGCCTAAAAAAGCATTACAGACCAGCAGAAGTGGCAGATTATCTTCTGCTACCGGCAGAAAAAGTGGCAGAGGCCTCAGGCCTCATCTAGCAAAGAGCGAGTTCCATTTACTGTTACAGTAACATTACTTAGTGTACTACGTATTATAGCAACTTACAGAGTTCAACCTCTTGACAGTTTTTGCAGGAAAAATGATCAATTACTGTCAGATGTAGAGTAACAAAACAGTCTTAATGCTCATAATTTTTTTATCGACAATGAAGCATAAGTAATGCATCTGTAATTCCCTGCACTTTTGTGAAAATTACCAGCTTCTCAGCACACCTGTCTTAAGTAATTCCCCCTAGACTTGAAACATTTTAAAGAACATGGGAACTCATACCCTTGCTTTCAGAACAAGCCATTCTGTTTCCAGTGTTAAAAAGCTCTCCACAGTTCTACACAGGCTTGACATGTCAATCTCAAAACAGGTGGTAAGAAAACCAGTACCCTCCCAATAAAAGCTCATTTTGAAGACTGCCATAAGCAATGGGGAAAAACCTTAATATCTTCTCTATATACTGCTCTCTCCCTCCACCTCATAAAAACTTTTCAAAAACAGTCCACCTCATTTTTAACCCTTCTTTTATTAACAATTACTTTTTTTACTGTTCTTAGAACCATTAGTTAAGTATCACTCCAGAGTCTATCAAACATTTAAGCAAACTGTGTCAAAGTAAATGGAAAGGGAAGAGGGGTAAAAGAAATGGGGCAACCAAGAAACTCCAGTTCTTACCCATAAGTTATAGCTGACAAGACTTAAAATACCATGACAGCCAACTCCTACATTTTCTACTATAGCGTGCTTCATTTACTGCAGTAGGCTGGAGACCTCTTTTACATATTACGTGATAATCACATGAGACCAAAGAGCTGTAAAATTTAAGTTCTTACCCTCTTTGTTCAGGGGCTTCCTCACAACATACTGGCGAACATCATCCTCCTTCGACAGGTTGAACAGCTTGCGGATTCTGCTAGCCCTCTTGGGACCAAGACGACGGGGCACAGTTGTGTCTGTCAGCCCAGGAATATCCTTTTCACCTTTGAGACGGTAAGTTTAAACATGCCAATTAATACTGCATCTACTGCACACCCACTTCATTAGTGAATTTCAATTATAAGATGCATAAAAATTCAAGATAATACTAAATAATCCTTGGGGTTCATCTGCCAGTAGCACCACCCCTAGGTATGCCTTGCTGATTTAATGTGATCAGATTGCTGGCAGCAACAGAATTGTTTCAGTGTCCAGTTTTAGAGTGACAAGAATGCAATGCTCAGAGGGAATTTAAAGACACATTTACACTCTAATCTGGGAACAGCATTTGCATTCTACAGAACCTCCCCGCACTAGCAAGAGGGCTCCTTCCAGGTGCCTCCTTCTACCTATTGCTTGCTTCATCCAGACTCTTACCTTTTTTCACTATGACCAAGTTCAAAACACTCAAGTTGGCATCAACGATGCAACCACGAACAGATTTGCGTTTTCTCTCTCCAGTCCTTCTGGGGCGATAGCAGGAGTGGCCCTTGCTCAGCAGAAGGCGGACACGTCCATGGGTCAGGACACCTTGCTTCATGGGGAAGCCTTGCTTGTCATTGCCACCACTTATCCGGACAACATAGCCCTACGAAAACACAAAAATACACTTTCTAGTTGCTCACATGTCTCTATTCCTTCAATGAAAAGTGGTGGCTGTCACAACACACTGTTCAAAACTATGCCTGTGATGCAAACAACTTCTTCAGCCACCACCACTCCAATAGTTCAGGAATTTTACTTAACAGATGTGAAAAATACCTCTGTATACCAGAATTTACATTTACTCATCTTAAAATACAGATTCAAAAATTAAATTCCTATCTATACAAAGCTTCATTTAAGCTACACCAGACTGAATTCTGTCAGTTACTGTAGTGCAGTGTGGCAACTGCATACTGAAGAAATTTTGTTAGTTAAGCTCCTCGAATACAGCTCTGACACACCCTTCTACACTTACCTTCCATTCCTCACCAAGAGAATCAGCCGCGACCTCCGTGGCCATTCGCTTCTCATAGAATGTTCTCAGCTTCCGCTCATCATCCACTTCAATGAGTTTCTGGCAGCCAGTGGCTGGAAAAGAGATGTTCAGCTAACAGAAGAGAAAGGGAAAAAAATTAGACTTGGGAGAGCCAGGCAAGCCTGTCCAGGGCCACACTGGGCTGTATTATTTGTCCAGTTACACAAAAGACTGACTTCACCACAGCTGGAGCTAGAACACCTTCACGCAGACTGCGATTAAGTACATCAAGGTATGAGCACCAGGAACCTGTGCTGTACACGGTGCCTCCCTCCTAGACCCGGGTACCGGCAGCGCAAGCCTCGCCCTCGCAACAGGCATTCTAAGCGGCGGAACGACCGGCAGCCGGAGCTTCATGACGCGGTGACAGCAGAGATCCTACTGAGGGAACGGG